CTCTCCCCCCCGTCCCTTGTCACAAGCCCCTCTCCAGCTCTCTCGCAGCCCCTTCAGGCACTGGCAGCTGCTCTAAGGTCTCCCTGCAGCCTTCTCTTCCCCAGGCTGAGCAGCCCCAGCTCTCCCAGCCTTTCCTCCCAGCAGAAGGGTTCCAGCCCTCGGATCATTGCTGGGGCCTCCTCTGGCCCCGCTCAAACAGGTCCATTATGTTTTAGTGTTATGAATTATGTTTAGTAATTACGGTTTAGTGTTAAGAATGAGGTAGGTGTAATAAATCCTGTAAACATACAGTTAATTTGTAAGGCTTGAGAGTAATCTGCAATGCCAGAACAATTTGTGGCTGCAATTTAAGCAGGTATGTTATGACATCAAAAAATCAAAGACCACAAAGGGATGTCCAAAACATGTCAGATAAACCCAGTGAGAAACAGGAAATACATTTTATGGAACAGAAACTGCCCTTGTGATTGGAACCGGTCACCAGATTTCAGCATACTCTGAAGCGTCCTAATGCTAGAACTGATGCAGCAACAGCCAAGAGGCAAATCAGTCCAGGTTGTTCTCCTCTTTTTGGGGAAAGAACATCACCTCTGCACCATAGCCTAAGAAACCTGCTTTTGAAACCTCATCTCCAAAGGTCAAATTGCCAGAGAACATAAACATTTTTATAACATCCTGCTAATAATACCATTTCTGATTTAGGGTTATCCTAGGTTTTAGTTAAAATGAAAAGCCTTATTTCTTTAATTACTTACCTAGGTAATGTGGTGGATGAAATGGCATAGGTTTATTAGTTGCTGAGTAATAAGCAACTGCTCTCTTAAATCGAGTAACTTTGTCATCTGTTCTAGACTAAAATAAGAGAGAGATCTGTCAGGAGCAAATCCAGGCATGTCATCTATTGCTCAGTACTGTCCCTGGAACGTAATTAACACAGACCACACCACACACAGTACTAATGTCTATGGACCCTTGCGGACTATGGCACTACTCCAGCAGCAGAAATACTACGTCAGTCCATATAAGGATAAAGTTTAAAAACACTATCTTCAGGTACAACTGATTCTCAGCAAGAGTGCATAAAGCCAGACTACAAAACCCCTCTGCTTATGAAGAATTTAACTTTAAAGCACCGAGAGTAAATGGAATATTTCTACCCTAATTTCACTTTCCACACTTTCCGAAGGTATCTAAGACACTGCATATACCAATAGATTCGTATTATCGACTGATGCAAAACACCATTTTAACAGAATGCAATTCTTCAACATAAATGTATAGCACAAGTGGTTTAAATAAAATCTCAAACCATTTTTTTTTTGCTTTATATTTTACAGAATCACAGAATGCTCAGAGTTGGCAGGGACCTCTGAGGGTCACCCAGCCCAACCCCCTGCCCAAGCAGGGTCACCCAGAGCAGGCTGCACAGCACCGCGGCCAGGCGGGGCTGGAATATCTCCAGAGAAGGAGACTCCACAGCCTCCCT